GCCCCTGGGACCCCCCGGGGGAGCACGTGGGAGCCGTTACCGGCCGATCCCGCTGCCCTGCGCCCTGTCCCTGGAGGGCTCTCTGCCCACCCTCGTGGCAGCCGTCCTGGGTTTATCCCTCGTTCCTTGGCAGAGGGCAGTGCCAGGGTCAGAGCGGTCCGAGCAGGCAGGTGGGCTGAAGGGCAGAGGTGTGATCCCTGCGGAAGAGCATGGAAGCGCTTCCCGTTCTGCCTGCCTGTCCGGGCTGTCGCTCGCCCTCCGGTGTCCTCCCGCTGCGTGTCCAGGACAGGCCCTCTTGCCCGGAGGACTGTGCTGAAGGGGTGGCTGCTCGGAGACTTCGTGTGGCTGAAGCCGCTGAGTGACTCCCCCTGCGCCGCCTTCTTCCCAACAGGCTTCCAGCTGCGCAAGGTGGAGGAGCAGCGGGAGCAGGAGAAGCGGGACGTTGTGGGCAACGACGTGGCTACGATCCTGTCGCGCCGCATCGCTGTGGAGTACAGCGACTCGGAGGACGACTCTTCGGAGTTCGACGAGGACGAATGGTCGGATTAACCACGGTCCCCTGCCTTCCCTCCTGGGCTAGCAGCTCACAGAACCAGGTGGCCAAACCTTCCACGTCTTCCTCTCTCAGCCTGTAACCAAAGATGTGCCAAGGGCTTTCAGACAAGCACCAGCGTCTCTCCCCTCTCCCTTCCCCTCCAGCTTGGGCAGGACTTTGTGCTCTACCTTCCCGAAGAGTCTCCTCGTGGACACTGCGGATGATGGGGTTGAGCCTTAGCTGGAGGCTGTGTAACGGTTGCTTAGTTAGGAGAGCTAAACCTCCAGATTCTTAATCCACCAGGCAGAGCACATAAAACCCCTCCATCCTGAGGGTTTTTTCTTAAAGTAAAGGTGGATGATGCTGTTGTGGCCACATGGCCTTTCAGATGAAGGACATTTTCAGCTAGTTTTCTCACTGCAACAGCATACAGATCTAATTGGCTCTTCTTTCCCAGTGACTGCTGGCAGTGCTAGAAGAAAATGGGCTTTAAATGTCTGTTCTCTGCTGCATCCCACTGTCAAACGATCGGTTTTTAGCAGGAGTGCACACTTCTCTCCCCCTCGGCCCCCCAGTATTTGCAGCCTGCCGTGTGTTGGATGCCCTTCCTAGCCCTGGGCTTTGGGTGCCATGTGAGGAGGGGCTTTTGAAAGCTACCCTTATCTTCCTGCAATCTCCTGGTTCCACGTGAGCCTGCAGCTGGGGCTGAGAGCCCTGAGGTCCCGTTGGCCTCCTCGGGGCAGTGCTGTGGTCGAGGAGAGGTGCTTTTCTAGTGGGGTGACTGTGCTCTTGATGCAGGGGCTTGAGCAGCAGCAGAAAGTGCTGCTATCACCCTTGCTGCTTCCTCCCTTCCACTTGAGCATGGGAGTGTTTGTGCCTAAAGTCCTGCTGTGGGTGAACAGTTGCCCATCAGTGACAGCAGGCCTATCCTACGCTGTTTCCCACCGTTTTGTTATTATAGCTCAATAGTTAATTTTAAGAAAATATCTCTTCTCCTAGCTAACCCTACAAATTCCCGGGCTGCTCACTACAGATACAGTGCTGGCAGGGGGGAAAAATGGGGGACTTGAACCAGCTGACCTGGATTTTATTGCTGTTTCCTATTACCTTACATAGAATATTAGCATATCCTGGAAGTCTAGATAAAAATACCCCAGTGCTACAGATGAGCTTTCATATTTTAATTTGGACTTGACTAACTCAGTATGATGCAAGGAAGCAATTCCAAAGCCTTCTGGAGATTACGGGTCCAGCCCTTGCAGGATGGGATGCAATGTGTCCCATTACGACCAACTCTCCGACTGCTTTGCCTTTTCTGCCGTGTTTTGCCAACTTGTGCCTGTTTGTTCTTCTCTAGAGTGCCTCCCTTAATGATGTTGCTGATACCTGGATGCCAGGCCCAGCCCGAGGCTGCCAGGCTGCTGAAAATCCTTCTTGGGGTTTGATTGATGGTTTCGGTTTGCACGGTTGAGTTCTTACTGATTTCTGGTGTGCGCGTTGGGTTGGTTTTAGTCTTTGACAGAGCAGATAATGGCCTGGAGGATGGGCTCTTCTGGGGGGCGGATCGAGCTGAGATCCGGTTTGACCCTGAGCGGCGTCAGGAGAGATTTCCTGGGCCTTGGCGCCGCTGTGTTTTTGTCAGCAAACGAGCTGCTAGGCAGGATGCAGAGGGCATGGGCAGCCAGGCATCCTGCTCCTCGGGGACATCTGAGCAAGGCCAGTTCCCGGTTCCGGAAGAGGGGACAAACCCCTCGAGTGCCAGCGAGCCGCCGTGCACCGGAGGCGTTGGGAAATGCAAAGGGATTATTGCTGGAGCTGGGCGAGGGGCCGGAGGAGTCGCTGCCTCCATGCGGCTCCTGTGCGCAGCCTCCTCGGGCTGCTCCTGGGGACGGTTCCTGGGCTCAGCGGGGGTCCGGCTAACCCGGGATGACAGCAGGATCGCACCGGGAAGTGCGGAGCCCACACGTGCCAGACCGCCCTGCTCTGCGCTTTTCAGGGGTGCTGGGGTTTTTCTTTATTTCCTTTCTTTAAAACAAGGCCTTGAAGTGGGAAGTGGATCCGATTCTTTTTTTTATTTTATTGCTGTATTAACGTTTTAATTCATTTCAGAACTAATCCCTTTCCCTCCCCCCCTCGAATGTTATAGAATTAGGCAAGCCATAACCCTCCTAAAGTGCCTTATTTTACTATATGATATAAATATATTTATAAGAGTAATTATCCCACTTGTACGGTAGGCGTTTCACGCTGACCAGAGCGCGTTAGGCAGGAGGAGGGTCCCGCAGGCTGCAGGAGGGACTCGCATTTGAGACCAAAGGAGTTCTAGTGGTGAAAGTCTAAAATCTCATGAGCAAAATCCTGTTGTAGCAACCGCGGCCGGCGGCGCCGGGGCCGGTGCCTCGTCTGGGTTTTATTTTGTCCCCTCCAGCCGCGCGGCAGCAGCGCCCGGGCTGGCCCTGCCGCCCGCCTCCCCGTGCGCTCCACGCTCCGCTCGCGGTGAGCCGGGCTCTCCTGCTGCTTGTTTTTATAATCGGCTCGGCCTCCCCTCCATGAAGATCCCCACTGCAACTTTTTTGTAATGTATGTGTAAAAAAAAAAAAAAGGCAAAAAAAGAGATTGATTCCTTTTTTAAAACTGTAAAACTTTAAACATGTTAAAGCCTTTCTATCCAGCTGGTGTCCGTGTGTGTTACTGCGGGGGAGCCGCAGGCGGCTGCCGGGATGTGCCGGGCGCGACGTTCCCGGCG